CTCTTTTCCTTGTTTTCCTTTTTCTTCAGGTGTTATAGCAACAAATGACTACATACTCGAACCAAAATTTGCTTCAAGAATTTTTTCTTTTTGAGAGTAAAATTGTAGTCATTTCATGCAAATATGACAGGGTGTGCTTTTGCCTTTTCAATACAACAATTTATACTTGTATAATACTGGAAATTTTCAAATTAAAGCTTTATATTATTATTAAGTATCATACAAATCTAAACTTAACTAAAGAATCAATGGAATATCAATGGAATCTTTGAAACAAAGTATGATAGTACAAGTCTTGTATGCATACAAACAATGGAGGATTTTAAACTAAAACTCTAAAAGATATAAGGGGTTAAGTTTTGAACTTTATAGATATTTTAACTATTGAAAAATAACAATGATCTTAAATAAACATGATATTGACCCTACATAACTTTTGTAAAAGCTTGTTACATGCAATTAAACAATGAACAATTAAATGAGTTAACATCAACAATAGGCGAGTTCGACTTACAAATTTTAATTTACACAAATTTATATGGGCCAATTGATGAAAGCAACATACTATGATATATGTACATAATAATATTTTGTATAATTTAAAAACATATACTCCCTGTGTTTCATAATACTTGATACAATTCTCATTTTTGCCTATCCTATAATACTTGATATATTACTGAATGTGAAATGGGACTACTAATAAAAATATATTTTCCCACATTTTCTCTCCTTGCCTATCCCATTTCCACCCCCACTTCTTGTTTTCTTGTAATATAAAAAAATAAAAAGAGAATCTTCTATATATAATAAACAAAAGTTTTTAATAGACCTACTTGTACTTTCTTAAACTACGTGTCCACATTAACGTCCCAAAAATTATAGGACGGAGGGAGTATTAAAGGATGGAGGGAGTATTATTTTAGAATGAAATTTTTGATTTGTAGTCGATGATTGTGAGTTATAAAATATTTGTAATTTTTTTTTGTTTTTTTGAATGAAAAATAAATTTGCAATGTTATACTCCCTTTGTCCCTCTTTTTTTTCCCCATAGTTAATTTTTGGATCAACTTTTAATAACTTTGACCACAAATTCCCATTAATGTATAAGAAATAATATAGTCAAGTGGATATTGTTGGATTCGTCAAGAATACATTTTATTAATATCAAGTTTTTATAATTTTTACAATTATAGATCTTGAGATATATACGTTTTAACACGCGTCTCAAAAGACCGTGAAAAGTCCAAATTGAACAAAAAAAGTAGAGACAGAGGTAATACTATTGCCACCGATGTATCCGAGATATCTTCTAACACCCTATTCCACCCAAAAAAATATTATGAGTCAGACAAATAAAGATTGAATGCATATCAATCTATAGATCTACTTGTACTTTGTATATGACAATAATTGGTATTAAATTTACCTCCAAAGGATTGCATGGATACATTAGCCCATTTAAGACAATTCAATGATGCTACTTGCAAAAACCTTGAGTGATGATTGCATGTCCTAAAATTAATTTAATTAAATATATCAGGTAGTTGTAATTATTCTATATAAGATCAATATCAAAACGAATAACAAATTTACTTTGCCGCCATCAAAAGTAGATATTACAATGTAAACATGGACTGACATTGTAAGTTTGCAATATTTTATATGATATATCATGTTGTAAGGTTCGATACTGGTGGAAATATTGTATCGTTTCCAAAACTAACCTTGGCGCATGACTAACTCTAAACAAATCTATTAATTAAATAAACAAGTATTGGTTTAAATGGATGTAGTGCATTAATTTAGTGCCTGCTAATTCCATGATTTTGGTTGCATTTGGTTCTAAAACCTCGCACACATACAAGTTTCGATGCGTCATCTGTTTTATGGCACGAATCTCCTTGAAATACAAAAATTGCATGCACAATACCTCTTAAAATGTTAGTGTCTAGAGCTTGAACTCTCTCTGTTCAACCTTCATTTAAAAGAGTGTTGAACCACTTGTTATATTAAGCCGCAAGCTTATAAATACTAGCTCATTAAAGGTCAATAAAAGACTACACAAAAATTATATATAATTATCAAATAATATTATAAGAAGAAAAAGCATGGTGAAATTTAAAAAAAATAATCACTCAATTTATGATTTTCCGCAATTGGTAAAAACATTTCGAGATTATTAAGACTATAAGGTTACGTTGTGTAGCAATTTCTTGATTATATCCCAGGATTGTTATATTTATTATATCATTTTTTATTTAAAGACTGTATATAATGATATAAAGTAAGAAGTGTGGTGAATCTTAAACTAAAAGTATAAGGGATTAAATTTTGAACTTTAACTTCATATTAAAATTATAGATATCTAGCTATTGACAAATAATAATGATTTGTGTAAAGTCAAGTTTAAAGCAATTGGGTCAATTGACTCCACATAACTCTATTAGTTACATGAAATTAAAAGATTGATAATTAATTTACTTAACATGAGGAAACAATATGCAATTTTGATTTACAAATTTAGTTAATACTAATTTATATGGGCAATAGATAAAGGCAACATATTAAGATATATGTACAATGTATGTACAATTATATAATATTTCGTATAATTTAAAAACATGTATTTTTCTGGAATGAAATTTTGGAGTGAATAACTTTGAGTCATGAAATAAAATTTAAATGTTATTATAGTCATTGCCAAAGATGTATCTGAGATGTCTTCCAACACCCTAATCCATCACTACAAAAAAACAAGGCACATTTTGACACTTTTTTGTACATATATTGACCTTAAAAAGTGTCATAATTTTCTATTTTGACGCTTTAAAAAGCGTCAAAATTTTTGAAGCCAAAATATTTTGACGCTTTTTTGTGTCAATTTATAAGTATAATATGTTGCTTTTGTGTGTCATCCAAAATTATTATGACACTTTTTTGTGTCATTACTAAAAAAATTATGACACTTTTTTGAGTCATTACTATCAAATTATGACACTTTTGTGTGTCAAATTGGGGGCCGTATTTCCCACCATTACTAATGTCCAAAAACTTGTGACGCTTTTGTTAGTCATTGTTTAAAAAGTTGTGACACTTTGTGTGTCAAAATGATGATATATTATTTCCAACAATTTAAATACCACCAAAAACTTTGATTTATAAAAGCGTCACTATTTCCCCCTTTTTTTTGGACGAAAATTGATAAAATTAAATTAATGAAGTACTTGTATAAAACTGTAAACAACCAAAATAATAATAATAATATAATAATAATAATAAAATAAAATAATAATAATAATAATAATAATAATAATAATAATTAATATATAAAATCATAATTGATGAAAATGTATTTACAAAAAGTAACATATATATATATAAAACACACACACATATATATATATACATATATATATAGATATTTTCCTAAAAAATATTTTCCTAAAAAAGATGTCCAAACTAATTACACACAACGCTATAAAAGCTACTAAATACCCACACATATATATAATAAGAGTGCTTGAAGCCAAATCACGCTCTTCATTTACTTTTTACCATTGCTGCCTACATCATCAACCTGCGAAAAAAATTTGATATGTGAACAATTATTGTAGTAGTAGTACTGCAAAATTAGAGAAGTTAAACAGAAAATATTTGCCATAGAGGAACGTAAACCAAGCACATAACTGTCTAGTGATACGCCTAGCTAACAAGAATTTTTGTACTAAATAGTCACTTTCTTGCACAACACAAGTAATTAACCCATTGCTATTAAAGGCGGTATGTGCTCGGCTAATAACAAATGACATTCCTATTCAAATATTAAGGATAAAGATAACAAACTGCAAAATGTCTGCTCAATATGGTCTAAGTATTACCTGCCCTTTTAATATGAGAAAACGACAAATCAGAAAAAGAAGCAGCAAATTAGCAATGGATAAAATATCATCTAACAGCAAACTAAAGGTATCAATCCCCTGCATTCGCTGCTTGAGACGACGTACAACAAGCTGGGCATCGCTTTCAATAATCACTCTACTGTACCCCAACCTGCACGCCAAGAGCAGCCCATACCTGCAAGCAGCAGCCTTGTAGCTTGGCCAATGTGAGCATCACAATTAATTTTAACCCAACCAACCCTCGGCACTTCCACGAAGACACAACAGGAGTGAGCATTGCAGGGGGCTTGAACACCCTACTAGCATACTCCCCATAATCAGTAACATACTTCATCATTCTCGCAGCAACCATAAGTAATTTTTTAATTATTAATAAATGGTGAATATTTTTTTACTGTATTCTTTATCAATCTAGCTATATAAAATGACTAACTTTCAAACATTTACCTAAAACGTACTAACTTGCCTCTAACTAACACCACTTCTCCCTAATCGAACCTAAAACCACCTAAAATAGCAATCCTGCAATGAAGTGGATGAAAAAAAAGGTGCATAAGGCATTGGTACGTCGACACCAGCAATCCTCACAATAGGTGCATCAACATATTCAAAGCTATCCTCAATAATAGATGTACCGTCAAGAACATCAGAGTATGTGAACAGGTGTAGCAAATCAAGCAACTCAAGGAGATCAAGAGAAACAGAAAACTCACATCAGCCTTAATAATTTCAGGTAAGCTGACACACTTGTTTATGTAGTTCTGCTCTTATAGTCTTATTCAGCATCAGTATTATTTATTGATCTTAGAAAATTTTAAGTGGGTCAGAAAAATTTGCAATGTGGTGTTATAGTAGAGTCAAGCAGACAGCAGGCGTTTTGTCTCGACATTTGAATAAAATTTTCTCCTACTATTTCTCAAATAAATGAGCAGAAGATGCTGAGCATCCACAATTACACGACTGGAAGTGCCTAAGTCATCAGTGATATGTGCCAACAGACTTAAAAGTTCTGACTAAAACCTTGACATGCGCAATATCCCAGATAACTTTATCCACTTTCATCTTGAACATATGAATTAAACCATCATTCTTAGGATATGTGCCTCTCAAATATTGGGTTTTATTGCTCACATTATATCATTCTGACTACAAGGAATTTACATCCCCTAAGGTAACTTCATAGTTCTGTAGCATATAGCTAAAATATTCTAATGTAGCTTTCTGTCTTGTCGTTTAAGACAAACCGAGTCTCTTGATTATATTGCTACAGAAAACCACATAATGCAAAGAAGGTGCACCAAGGAAGCTAAACCAATAATACAGAATTTAAAACCAATAATACAGAATTTAAAACCAATAATACAGAATTTAAAACCCGTACGATTCCACGGAATATAGATTCAGCCCTGAGAATCAAGTAGTTGTATTGCATTAGCTTGAGGAAATTTTAATGAAAGGAAATTTTATATCTTGCCACAGATAATGAAAGGAAATTTTTAAAAAAAAGGAAGCGGATGAAAAAAGAAATGGTTTATTCCAAACCTGAGAATCAAGTAGTTGTATTGCATTATCTATAACTTCTGATGAAACATTTCCACTACGTGTTGCCTTCAAAACCTGTGCCATCATAGAACCAACTGCATCAAATTTTGTGTTCAATATTTGATTTTGTTTAGCAAGATCCTCATTTTGCTTCTTCATATCTAACAGTGCAACCTTCAACTTCTCCACTTCCATATCACTATTGTTGACATAGTAAGACCCTTCTTTCCTTAAATGTCCTTCCACTCCAAAGATGTCGCTTTGCTTCACACCAAAGCCATAATTTAGAGGACGCTTAGGGATCTCGCCTTGATACATAAGTTGATTGAAAACTTCATTTTCAATATCAACCTTGGGAATGCAAGAAGAGGACTTATCAAGGCTTTCTTGCACCTTCTTGATTGCATCCTCCTGTTACATGATAAGAAAACTATAAGACTTGGCAAAGAGCTAATAAATTAGTGGTTAAACTAATTTTCATTGGTATATATACCACAAACTGACGAGATGTTGTGCCCTCTTTGAAGCTTCCATCTCCTTCGCTGTAAACACTTTTAAAAAACTCCAATTCACTGAAATCACCTTTTTGTTTTTTCTGCAATGTGAGAAACATACAAATATCTGACATTTAACTTCTGCTATTTTAAGTCTTTTAAATTGACGAAGTTACATTTTCTTCCAAATCTTGTAAGATAGTCAAACAGAAAAAAAAAAAAAAACACTAAATGCAAATTTTAGGACTAAATAAAATGAAGGATAATTATACCAAAATAGCTCTGCGATTTGCAAAGCTTTTAGCACCACTCTTGCGCACGAGAACTTGCGACGCACGAGAAGCTTTTCCGAGTTCAGACATTTTCTGTTTATTTAAAATCATGGTTAGCATGAGATAGAAATAAAGTTACATCACACTAAAACCACTATGATCAGAATATAACGGATTTGCTTGTGTCATTAGGTAGTGAGTTGGTCTGATGGAAGCTAGCCTCTGTTCTCACTAACACGTGTACTGTGTAAATATAATGGATTTGAGATCTCTAAACCTTATCGTGTGACTAACTATATCTGATGGGATGCAATGCTGACACAAGCAAACGACTATTGGCAACAGCAAGATAGGAAGGAGAGAATATGTAGCTTATTAGAGAGACAACAAAGGAAAAGGGTTGTAGCATCAGCGGCGAATACAGGAGGTCCATTACTGTTGTTTCATTGTGTATACTTTACTCTTTTCTCTCTCTGATTTGTTCCTTATAAAGCTATAAGACTGTAAGTTTATAGATTTGCTGGTCATAGGTTATCGCTTATGAAGAATTAGAGGACATTGTGGGAGGAGTTGATCAGCATAAACAACATAACCACCAAAATGTTTATCACACATCTAGGATTGTTCATTTATTATATCCTACTAAAATGTTACTAACAACTTGACAACATACAAAACGGTTATACAGAGCTAATCTATAAACAAGAAATTCCCGTAAAAATCAAAATGCAAACCTTGGCGTCCGATGAAAGCCAATAATCAACCAGAAAACTCCAATTTTGAGTTGTGATTCCATCAAGTATACTAGCATAATTTTGCTCACGCGTTTTTTCCACGGAATCAAAATAATCCTTCTTTAATGCATATCTATGATTTTTCCATGCTTTGCCAATACGCTTCAAAATAGCATTCCTCATTTCCTTTCCATCGGGTAACAGAAAATGTGCCTTAAAGTAAATGTACAAATAAAGTTACGTTAAGATTAATCTATGTAGCATATATAACTTATAGCGTATCATACAACATGTGAGTTATTATTGTGGCATTCATAATTATATCATATATCAGAGAACCATAGCATATGTCAGGCATGCAATAGATTATAAGTGTAGTAATGAAAGTAAGATTATATATTCATGGTGAACGATTAAAAGGCGTACCCGAACAAGGTTAACAATATTGCCTCTCATATTCGAGCTCAACTTATGCCAATTTCAAATTCCCACGGGACAAAATTCTTCTCGTTTAGCAATGTCTCCTAAGAAACTCACAAGGATGGAGCCACCTTTGTGAAGAGGTTGGTTGAATTCATTAAATTGGGCGAAGTACCTAAATCTTGGTGCATCATTCCACACATCTCGAGGCTGAACAGAACCCTTCACAAGGTGTCGTGTTCCATCGATATCTTTGAAAACAATGAAATTAGGTAAGTGTTAAACAATAAAAAAAACATTCGAAAAGGAAAAAAACAAAGCACATAATATTAAATATGCATTTACACTTACCAAATGCCACAACCTCTTCTTCCTCATCAAACTTGACATGCTCTGGCCAATTTTTCACAATACTTCGGCGTCTAAATTTTGTTCTTTTCACACCACTGTCCACTCCACCTGACTCATGCAACTCTTCTTCACTCTCTGATTGAGATTCAGGTTCGTCAGAGTCAAAATTTAACCTCTTGTTGCTTTCAGCATGAATATATGCAGGAGACTTCTCCTTTTGGAGTCCCGGTGAACAAGTTGTATTCATTTGAGGTTGTGTCAAGGGTTCACCTCCAAAATTAGAAGACGTCATAGGATGCTTCTTTTGAGTTTGGTGCATAGCTTCTAGGGGTGAAACAGCTCTTCTTTTCTAATTGGGATTTAGCTCCAGTCAAAGAAGAGACAATAGGTTATTGTGAAGCTCCCACCGACAGTGCACCTGTTTTAGCTCCAGGAAAAGGTTGTTTACTCGGATGTTCGGTAGCTTTTTGAGGTTGCTTTGATGCTTTAGTCGGCTGAGTTGTTTCTTTATGAGGGACTTATGTTGTTTCTTGTGACGGAAGTGCACCAGTTTTAGCTTTAGTAAAAGGTGGAATAGTCGGATGCTCTGTAGCCTTGTGATGCTTTCATGGTTTAGTAGGTTGAATTGTTCCTTTGTGAGGCTGTAGTGTTTCTTTATGAGGGAGTTGTGATGTTTGTGGTGTTACAGATTGTAACATAGGATACGATCTAGGTTGTGATGGGGTTAAAGGAGGTTTTGATGACATCTTTTGTTGGGAGTTTGATGGCATTATAGTTGGCATACCTGCTTTTGATGCAGCAGCTACAGATGAAGATGATGTAGATGTGGGTTTTGATGCATTAATAGAAGATTTGTTTGGTTGCAATATGTGCCCAAACGTTTGTGATCTTCCAAGTGTTGGAGGGCTAAATGGTCCCCATTGGGTGGATTGGTTAGAAGACTCTGAAAAGTTGGATTGTGACACTGCAATATGGCTGGACTTAGACTGTAAGGATGTCGAAGTGGGTTGCTTATTTGAAGAAAATTGAGCCTCGCCAGGGGGTAAAGCAGTTCTTTTACTTCTGTAACTCATTATGAGGCACCTATTAACATAAACAAATACAGCTAGTCAGAAAATATGTGTGCAGCATAGGATATCAGACAGGTTTCAATTTTCTGAATCGAAGGAAGTAGAGTATGCATACAGGTGACAGTTCTGCTAAACCTCAGTAATCAATCTGCAAATAGCTGAGCATTATCAAGTAAATCAACTCAGATTACTGATTTACTACGTATACCTGAGTATGCCAATTAAAATTCTTAGCTTAAATTGTTGAGTTGGTTTTTAATAATATCGATCAATGCATCAGTCTGTCGAAATCCACATACAACTTTCTGATTCCTTTGTGTTCCTCAATTTGTTTGCAGAAATGGATCGAATACAAAAGGGTACTGCAATGCACCCACAAGCTCCGCCCTTTTTGGTGTATAGCAGGAGACCAAGGGGGGAACAGGATCAGCAGCAGAAGTAGAGGCCTTCTCCACCTCTCACTTGAGCAACAATTTACTGATATGGGCAGGGAGCATGTTTTGTTATATTAGCTCTTTTACTGTGGTAACTTTAGCTTGTTGACAAGTTGTAGTAAATTAGAAATTAAGGCTTTTGTCCATTTATGTATGAGTTGTAGTAGTATAAATAGGAAGAGACTAAAGTAGAGGAGGTAGGCAGAAAATTGTAAGGACTTTTGGAGAGTAATGGCCTAAAGCCATTGTCCTAATAAACAGCATAAAAATATCGAGAGAATTTAATGATCAATAACTAATCTTTAAAGGCAAAATACATTAATTGAAACAGCATAAAAATATCGACAGAAAATGTTTCCTAAAAAGAAAAATTGACGATAAAATCTACTGTATAAGAATAAATATACTTGCATTACTTGAAAACAGATTTCCAATAGCTACTCTAACTGTATTCCTAATTTCCAATGAACTGACCAATGTGTGATCAAACTTTACCGATTATAGCATTTATGTTTAATAAGGTGAGGTGGTTAGAGACTTGAAAACGGATTGGACATATTTATTTACCGACTACTGCAGATCTGATCTTACACCAATTTGTGGTCCATTAGCTTTTAACATACAGTTTCTAACATTTAGACAGAGATGCAAATGCTCTAAATGCTAACCAATCTTCAACTGGCCAGTTATCATCAAAGAAGAGTCACAAAGAAAAAAACAAGGAGAATGGCTCCCTATATTGGATATTGTAACAAACATTCATGCAAAGAATTCCAGCTTTATACATAAGTAGATTACCCCTTCTCTACTGAATGCGACCCAAATGCAAAGCCTAAATGCAAACCAAGGGTTTAGTTTAGAGTAAATATGTGATTTCATCACAAAATTCAGAAGACAGAGAAATAGAATGGCTGAAAGCAATTTGATAGTACTCTAACAAGGTAACTATTATTCTTCATTCAAACGAAAGATTAATTTTAAAAATAAATGAAAAGATGCATTTACGAAATCAGGCTAGTTATAAAAATCAGGCTAGTTATACAAATTCCATTGCTTAGTAAGTTATCTTAGTCATAATTGAACAATGGTTTCATACTTTCATGTGATTACATATGCAATAGAATCAGGAATTTCTTACAATTGCTTCTGTTTTTCAAATTATTGCTGATGGTTACTAATAGTTAAATTTTCAATTATTCTGTAAACAGTAAAAAAGAAGTTTTATTAAATGATTAATTTAATTATGATTATTTATCTAACGTAAAAATTAAGAAACAAGTGCATATAATTTTTCAATGCAATATTGAATAGGGGAAAGTATTTACCTAATTAAACCTCTTCGTTCTCTCTCTTTTTGACAGGAAGTTCTACACCTGAACAATGAGAATATAGCTCTAATTATATATGATATTGACGAGAAAGAAAAAAAATAGTGTGTTAATTAAGAGCAAATCGAAATCATAAGAAAAAACGCTATAACTGTTAGATGGTATGAGAAAATAGATTGTAATTAACAAATAGAATTAACAAAAAGTAAAGGGATAAATTCAGCAAAAGGAAATATTAATTAATGACAAATATCAACTCATAATTAAATTCAGAAATTACAAATCCAAATTAAATAATAAATAGGAAACTAATCATTCATTGTCGTTATCTACTTCAGTTAACTCATCCCCTAAATCAAACAAGTCTGTAGGCTTAGTCTTTACAACATGAAACCAACCTTTTCGTATCTCATCTTCAATGTAGAAAACCTGTTTTGCTTGAGATGAGAAAATAAAAGGATCATCTTGCAAATTTCTTCCTGAATGCATCAACTTAGAGAAATTAACACATATAGAGCCATTTTGATCTGATTTAACACCCCTATGTATGTCTACCCAAACACAATGAAACAATATAGCTTTGTAAGTCCCATAATAGTCCAATTCATATATATCCTTCACTTTCCCATAATATGCTTCTCCATCTGCTTCAACCATGATTCCAGAATTTTGGGTAGTCAAACGGCTATCACGGTCCATGAACTGAAATTTATACCCATTGATCATAAAGCCCTTCATTTTTCTACCATAACAATTCAATCCCCCTGCCAGAATTTTTCTAAGTTTCCCATCTTCGGTGGATTCATCTATTGAGTGTACCTATCATGGTAGAATATAAAGTCAAAAACAGTCTGCTATTTTTGTAAGAAAATTGAACACATTAGGATACATATATATCACCTGACTTCGCAACCACTCTCCAAACTCGTTGATGATCCAATCACTTTCATCACTTTCAGTGATTGGGTTATGTGTATTCATTTGTCGCTTTAGATTTAAAAATTCTCTTCAAAGAAAGGAAAATAAATTATAATTTATAATGATATATTATAATAATTGGTTATTCATAAAATAGAATAAAACCTGCTACTTACTCGAGAAGATCTTGAATTTCATCAGAATGATGCAGTAAAACATAGCGATGAGCTTGTTTTAGGCTTTTGTCATCTAGACGGAAATTGACTTCTTTCCCAATTACTCAACCGCCAGAATTACACAAGCATTTTCCAGAATTGGGACTATCATCATCAATTCGTTTAGGTTTGTTAAAGACGGTCTTAACACCTTCAAGATATCTTGAACAAAACCTAATGGTCTCCTCTAAAAGGTAGCCTTCTACAATTGACCCTTCAGGTTGGGCTTTATTAGCTACATGTGACTTTAGATGGGCCAAGTACCTTTTCAAAAAGTCAAATTATAATTAAAATACAGTAAGTTTATAGATTTTCTAGATGAATTTAGATTAGACATATATGTAAATAAATCTAACCTCTCAATGGGATACATCCATCTGTACTGTACTGGCCCACCGAGTTTAACCTCCTCCACTAAGTGAATTAGCAAATGAACCATGATTGTGAAAAATGAAGGCAAAAACTCCATTTCCAACTCACAAAGGGTTAATACAATTCCTTCTTGAAGAGCATCTAGATCATCAGGATCAATAGCAGTGGAGCATAATTGCTTGAAAAAGTAAGACAATTTTGCAAGCAAATCAATTACTTTTGTTGCATTAGAAGCTCTTAATGCGACGGGAAGGATATCTTGCATCAAAACATGGTTGTCATGGCTCTTAAGGTTAATCAACCTTCTTTGCTTCATGTTCACGCATCTAGAAAGGTTAGATCCATAGCCATCAGGGACTCTGAGTTTTTGTAAAACTTTTAAGAACCTCTCTTTCTCCTCTACAGACATAGAATAAGAAGTTGAAGGCATATGATTATCTTGAACCCAAAGATGTGGCTTTATGCCCCATCCTTGAAGGGCATCTCGATCATCCTTCTTATCTCTGCTTTTATCGGTATTTAAGAGAGTATTTAAAATATTGTGACACACATTTTTTTTCTATGTGCATTACATCTAGATTATGCCTCAACAAATTATGCTCCCAATACTCTAAATTATAAAATATGCCTCTCTTGGTACCAATGACAACATCTTCTTCATTGTTACCCTCGTTACCTCTCTTTCTTTTTGATGTCTTCCCATAAACATACCCAACCTTTTCTTGTAGCCCCAATATGTCAGTCCCACTAGGCCGAGGTGGAGCTTCACCATGCTCTTCTCTTCCGTTAAAACTGTCACTCTCAAATCGATATGGATGACATGATGGAAGCCATTTTCGATACCCACAATAACAAGTCTTACTCCCAAAATTTTCAAAAGGAGTTGAATCAATGCATATAGGGCATGCCATATAGCCTTTGGTGCTCAGACCGGAGAGCATTGCATAACCAGGAAAGTCATTAATAGTCCAAATCAAAGCGGCTCGCAATTTAAATTTCTCTCCATCATAAGCATCAAAAGCATCAACCCCACTCCATAACAATTTCAATTTATGAACTAGTGGCTGCAAATACACATCGATGTCAATTCCGGGACTTGTTTTACCGGGAATGATAATAGACAACATGAATGAAGATGGTTTCATACATAACCACGGTGGAAGATTATAGGGAATCAACACCACAGGCCATGTACTATAAGTCGTGTTCATCAAACGATATGGATTAAACCCATCACTTGCAAGTCCTAATCAAACACTACGAGGATCCGAGGCAAAATCCTCATAACGTTGATCAAATGATTTCCAAGCTAATGCATCTGAAGGGTGCCTTAACATCTTCTTATCAACATCATTCAATTTATCATTATGAGTATAATGCCATCTCATATCTTCTGCTGTTTTTGAGGACATGTAAATTCTCTTCAGTCTAGGGATAAGAGGAAAGTAACGCATTACCTTAGCTGGCTCACCACTCGTAGAAACAGTCTTATCTTGATCTCTGACATTATCATTTCTACCCTTATTTTTCTTCCATCTTGATGTACCACAAACATGAAACTTGTATTTCTTTGAATAATCACCCCAATACAACATACAGTTATTTGGACAAGCATCAATCTTCTCATATCCAAGGCCAAGGTCTTTTATTATTCTCTTACTTTGATAATAAGATGAGGGGAACTCAAGTATTTGGGGAAATGCGTCTATGAGAAGCTCGAGTAGCATATTAAAGGATTCAGCAGACCAATGGCTCATACATTTTGTGTGAAAAAGGTGTAAAAGAAAAGACAGTTTGGAAAATTTAGTACACCCGTCATACAATTTCTCATCGGAAACATCAAGTAATTTCTTATACTTAGCTTCATCTTGCGTTGTTGAAAATTCTAAATCAATCTCCTCTTCATAAAAGACAGGGTCTTCAAGATACTCGTCATTTTCATTATTTTCATGTGGTTCAAAGGTTAGGTCATTTGAGGGTTTTTCAAAACTAAAAGCAGATCTCAATAGGCCTCCCATATCATCTCGACCTTCAAACCTTGTTTGATCTAGTGGGGATCCTTGGCTAGTACTACCTCCATCACACCCAATCATACGCTGAAGCAAATCCCCTTGACCATGAAAAATCCATTTCTTGTATGATTTATAAAACCCGTTAAACAAGATATGTCTTTCTACATCATTTACACAAAGCCATTTATCCACTTTACATGTCTTACATGGACACCGAATCTTTCCTTCTACCTGAGCTACCTTAGCAAAGTTAATGAATTGCATACAACCTTTGACATATTGAGTGTGGCATCGTGGAAGTTCTATCCAACTTGTATCCATATCTATACATAATTAATACTTTAATAAGGGAACTACAATTTTGACCAAATAAATAGAAAATTTTAAAGCTTACTTATCAGAACAAATATCAAATTCTTCACAAACTAAAATACACAACAAAGCAGATTGGGGTAGCATACTTTTATTTCATATATTCTGATCATAAAACTGAGGAAAGGTCAATCATTATAGCCATGCAACAGAAATAAAAGTTATAGGTATAGGATTTACTATATGAAATCTAACCTATTGATGCAATTTTCATTGCATACTATTTAAACCTCACTATATAATAATAAAAAAAAATTAAGAAAAATCACCTACAATTATATAATTAAACCAATGTAATCAAAGATGATGAACTATTGGAGATACCAAATAGTTATAAGTCACTAAGTTGCTTTGTCAAAGTCATTACAAGCCATACAAACAAAATTACATGCTTACTTGGTATAGCATACAACAATCTTAAAGCTTATCTCAAAACTAAACTGTCATAACTTGAAATAGTAGCATATAAGATGTGAGTAATACCTTGGTATAGCTGTCTTCAAGAGTCTTCTAAACTAAGCATGCAGTGACCAAAAGAATCCAAAAGGATGAATGCTGAAAAAAAAAAAATCAAGCAATATCCACACATTAGATGATATATTATATAATATAAAGAATTATGTTCGAGTGACCAAAAAAAAAATTATGGGGGGGGGGGAACTCAAAAGACACTTCAATTGAAAACAGTGATAACAAAAACAAATACGGTAATTCAATACTCAAATGCAAAGTTGACATGGGAGATAACATAGAAAAATACACATCAGTAGTGGAATCAAATTGGGAGAGTTTGAAGTTGTTAGAAAAATACTCATTGAACGAATTTACTAGGCATTTGATAAATATGGTAAACATGAGATGCTGGTTCTGGTGGCTTTTGTTTGGGATACGTGGGCTTTTCATAATTCAGTGGTGTTTGGTAAGACTTGGAGCAGTGAATTATAGTAGGAGTTATGGGTTTTGTGAAACTTGTTCTCGATTTTAAAAAATATAATTAGAGAGTTTGCTATGTTCCTGGCTTCCTGCTACCAGATCTGTGATTTATAGAAGTTATTAGCTTCCTCATGCTCCTGGTATAATAAAAATCAAAACTGACGCTGTAATGTTGGAGGAGAATGGCATGGGGTTAGGGGCAGTTTTTAGGGATGCTGCAGGTTGTGTTCATACAGTGGTGGTGCGTAGGGAAGTCTGTAGAAGTTCAGTTGAGGTGGCTGAAGTTCTCGCTGCTAGATTGGGGTTACAGGTTCCCTTGAGTCTTGGTTATCAAAAGGTGGAACTAGAATGTGATGCTGCTAATTTATGAGGTGCAATTAATTTGAAGTACTTTGGGAGGTCTGTTTTTGATCTAAAGGTGGAAGATATATGTAGCTTGGGGAGACAATCTTGATAGTTTTTCTTGCCATCATGTGAAAAGGAAGGGTAATACAGCAGCACTTATGATAGACTTACTCCTTCAAAGGGTCCATATCTTAACTCCTTAAGATCAACTATACGAACAACATGATTCAATTCTTAATAGTTAATTGAATCTTTTCTCAAATATTGTTTAGCGTAATGACTTTTATACTCAAAGAAATAATCACAGATATGGTAATCAAGCATTCCATGATTTAAAAAAAAAAAGCCGAAATTGATGGCATAATTTATAAGACATAATACCAGCATGCTCAAAGCTCTGAATTCAAGCAGTCTGCTAAACTAACTGCTACATACATCTCTGTTCTCAGAAATTGATCACCTTTAAGAAAACTATTAAATATATCTAATTACACCTGAAAAGAATATGAGATATATTTTTCAATCAATGTCACCAAAGTCAGCATACATCTCTAATTTTATAGTTATCCCATTTAGTCCAAGAAGGTAATAGACCATCACCTATTATGAATAATCAAATAATTATTCATTAACTATGGATTTAGTAAAAGCTTAAGCTCAAAACTCACAGCCAACTATAGACATTCAAAGATACACAACCGAAATTTTCATCCAGAACAATATTATATTTAGGCAGTGCTTATGTACATTACCTCCAATTCTTGAAGCCGTTTCTCCGCCTTTTTAGCTTCTGATTTTCCACTTCTTTGCACTTCAAATACCACAGCTTCTCCTCAGATGACCTGTGCGTTAATATGGTTAAAAATCTGCTGGTTAATTGTAGTTGTGCATTTTGTTTCAATTTAAAAAGGAATCTAAAGTTTGAAAGCAATGTATATGTGACCATTTAATTAAACAACTGATTGAATATGTATACATCTGAAAATTATCAAAAAGTTACAATTTTTAATAAAAATATGCATAATTCGAGACTTAGAGTAACAATTGCAAATGGGTATCCAATTCTTTACCAATAAAAAAGTTAGAATATAATTAACCAATTCAATAACTTAATTAATTCGTTAATTCAACCCATTCCTCAACTATAATCGGAGATTATAATAATAATAATCATGCGTGCAGCTATCAACATACATAATAATTAAAGAAAAAAATTGGAAAAAAAAAAAAAAAAATTACGAGATTTTGGGCTGAATCTTGATAAATTTTCTCCAACAAACAATAGAAACGATGAATCAAAACTCACAATACAAATTAACCCCAAAACTAAATCAAGAGAACTTTTTTGGCAAATTATGAAGAGTATTAAAGCAATCTGCAATTCACATCATACTATACGCTTCAAATATATTGAAAAAAACAAAATTGAAGTGGTAAAGTAAGAAGTGGGCTGAGATGATTATATGCTAACTGAAATCAAGAAATTAGGGATTTTTTTGTGAAGATTCAAAGTTTTTAGGCAACAAATCTGAGCGGCGAATAAGGTGTTATTGGCAACTGCTTAACAAAACCGTACTGGGAGCTGATAGTGCAATGAGGACGAACATGGGGTACAGTTTCCCGGGATATTAGATTAAAAATTTTGGTGAAATTTTAATTTCAGCGGGTTAGTTGTGTAAATGTGTAATTGATAGTAGGGGTGAGCAAAGACCCAGGGTACCCGGTACCGGACCCGGAACCGGTTAGGATCCGCCGGGTCCGGACCCGGAACTGGTCCCACCGGTTCCGGGACCGGGTCCAAAATGTCGGACCCGGTTGTAACCGGTTCCGGGACCGGGTCCTAAAATTTCGGACCCGGTACCCACTGGGTACCCGGTTTAAACCAATTCCAGTTCCGGGTACCCGGTCCCGGATCCAGACAATCCGGGTACCCGGAACCGGTACTGATTTAGTTATAAAAAATTATTTTTTTTTAAAAAACCCAACTGAATTATAAGCCCAATCCTACAAAACCCCTGCCTGGCCCAAAACTAAATACCCTAGGTATATAATGAAAAAATAAAAAAACCCTAATTCCTCTAATCCTCTCACGCTCTCAGCCTTTCTCCACTCTTTCGTCCTCCCTCCTGTCTGACTGTCTCCTCTGAGTCTCCGACCACCGTCCAGTACACCAGGACACCAGGCGACCACCGTCAACGGTCCACCTGCTTCTCTCTCTCCTGTCTTCTCCTACTAATTAAGGTATGAAATATGCAATTTGCGAATTCAATTTGCGATTTTAATCGTTTCTCTACTTACTTGCTCTCTCCTGTCTTCTCCTACTAAAGTACTAAATACTAATCGTTGCTACTGCATGTTCAATTGTGAATTGCGATTTTAATTTGCGATTTTAACTTGCGATTTTACTTGCTACATTTTAATTTGTGAAGAATATGGCAATTGGTGATGCTAAAATTGATGAAGTGGTCGAAATACTTGAGTGATTGCTCTGTGCTGCTACTGCTGTGTTGATCTGCTGCTACTGGCCTACTGTGTTGATGTTCTGCTGGCTGCTGCTACTGTTCTGCTGTTCTGTTGCTACTGTTCTGCTGTTCTGTTGCTACTGCTTTGCTGCCTGCTGGATTGATCTATTCTGCTGGCTGCTGCTATTGTTCTGCTGTTCTGCTGGCTGTAATGTTGTTGAATGTTGATCATGTTATGTTTAACTTAAGTAGTTCTGTTAAAACTTGTTTAATTTGAGTTTGTATGGATTGATTGGTTTGATTTGATACTTTGTTAGTTTGTTATTTAAACTGAAAACTTAAGTTTGTATGATTTGGATTGGTTTGTAGACTTTGTACTTTGTATGAATTGGACTAAATTTGTTTGCTGTTATATTTGTTAATTTGCACTGCTTGCTGTGTTAGTGAGAATAGTGACTTAGTGTGTTGATTAATGAGGCCCAATTTGCAGATTAATGAGAATAGTACTTTGTGTAATGTTTATGTCTTATTAAAGTTTAATTTGTTCCTATTTCAGAACTATGAGCAATACCGACAATTCGTCAGTCCCTATGGATGATGAAAGTGAGGTTGGAAACGAGAATGCAACAACCAAATCAACCAAGGTTGGTGACAAGAGGAAGTCTGAATACTGGAACCATTTTTGGGATTTTAGAGATCCAGTAACCAAAAAAATTGTTCAAGTCAAATGCAAATATTGTGAGAAAATGCTAACAGGTAATACTAATAATGGAACTTCTTCATTAAAGAAACACCTTGGTGCATGTTCAAAATACCCTCCAAATGTAGACAAAAAGCAAAAACTCATTTCTGTTTACAAGTCTCCTGAATCTGATGCTACTATAGTCTCTAATTGGAAATTTGATGAAACTGCTTGTAGACTTGGTTTGGCAAGAATGGTTATTGTTGATGAACAACCATTTTCTATTGTTGAGCGTGAAGGTTTTAGGTATTTTTGTAGTGTTGCTGTACCTCAATTTCATATACCTTCACGTTTTACAGTTGCAAGAGATGTGAAGAATATATTTGTTTGTGAAAGTGGAAAATTAAAGAAATTAATTGGGTGTTTGAAATCGAGAGTGTCACTAACAACTGATTGTTGGACCTCCATTCAAAATTTTAATTATCTTTGTTTGACTGCTCATTTTATTGATGATAATTGGAAGTTGC